GAGGGTCAGTGAAAAAGAGGAAGACCTTTAATGAGATGGACTGACATAGTGGCTGCAACAATGGGCTCAAATATAGCAACAGTTGTGAGGATGGCGCAGGACAAGGCAGTGTTTCGTTCTGTCGTACATAGGGTCGCTATGAGTTGGAACCAACTCGACGACACCTAACAACAACAACCACCTTATCAACTATAAAGGAACTAGTTTCAGGGAAGTATAGAACAGGCATCTACCTCTACCATGTAATAGCAGATAGCCCTTCTATCACTTCTGCATGTGTACGGGGAAAAGGTTACTTAAATGTTCTGCCATTTCCTCTTACCCCTCAGTGCCTGACTAAAAGATGCCAGCAGGAACTAACATTATACAATTACATGGCTCAGTAGTTCATTACTCACCCTTGTACGGATCAGTCCTTTCGCTTCAGAGCACCGAGAAGTGGCACTGAAGCAATAGCAGCTGCTGCAGCCAAGTGGGTTTTTGGCATCAAGTCCAAATTTGCCAGGCCGGCACCTGTCACAGTGGACACCTTCCACGTTCATCTGAAGACAGACGAGAGTCCCACAGGAGTTTATAATGGCAAAGTGATAAATAAACTCGAGAAGAAATAACAGGGGGACTTTTTTTTTTTAATTATATGCAAAAAGCAAAACACAAGAAATCTGAATATTAGACTCACGTCTCAAATGGCATATGTAGTTAATCTTATCGTTAGGCTTTCACAGCTCTACAAAATGCTTTATTTATAAATATGTATATTGCTAAAGAAATTGTATATTGCTTTTGAAATCTATGCAGCACATTTCCTACAATTCTACTGTGAGCAATAGAATTGCTTAATTCTAATGTGAGCAATACGAACAACTCATGAGAATTTCAGAAACAAAATAAAAACATTGATTCCTAGACAGTGATACCATGCAAACTTGTAAAAACCAGGCAGAAGGTTAAAATATATATTTACATAATTTTATTGTAAAGAGTCCCTGGGTGGCGCAAACAATCAAGCACTCAACCACCAGTCAAAAGGTTGGCAGTTTGAACCCACCCAGAGGCACCTCGGAAGACAGCCTGGTGATCTGCTTCCGAAAGGTCATACCCATGAAAACTCTATGGAGCAGTTCTACTCTGCACACATGGGGTCGCCATGAGTTGGAATCGATTTGATGACAACCAGCAACAACAATTGTTACAGCAATAGATAGACAGACAGACAGATGGATAGACAGATAGATGTATAACCAAAAAACCCACCCCCGTAGAGTCGGTTCTGACACATAGAGACCCTGTAGGGCAGAGTAGAACTGCCCCATAGGGTTTCCAAGGCTGTAATCTTTACAGAAGCAGACTGTCACATCTTTCTCCCGTGGAATGGATGGTGGGTTCAAACAGGTGATGCTTCAGTTAGCAGCCAAGCACTTAACCGCTGTATTATCCAGGGCTCCAACAGATGTACATGTACAGATACATGTGTATACACACATGTGTTGCTGTTGTTAGCTGCCATCAAGTTGACACCCGACTCATGGCAACTCTGTGTGCTACAGAGCAGAACTGCTCCATAGGGTTTTCTTGGCTGTTATCTTTACGGAAGCTGATCTCCAGGACTTTTCTTCTGCAGAGCTGCTGGGTGGGTTTGAGCAATCTTTTGATTAGCAGCTGATTATAAACCGCTTGTGCCACCCAGCTCCTTATATACACACACATACCAAACCATATATTATATAATATATTAAAATATGTAATTGTAATTATAATATGCGATAACCCAACATTGTACTTTTATTATTATTTTTATTTTTTTTAATTGTACTTCAGATGAAGGCTTACAGAACAAATAGTTTCTCATGAAACAGCAGTACACATATTGTTTTATGACATCGGTAAACAACCCCACAACATGTCAACCCTCTCCCTTCTCGAGCTTTTTTTTTTGTGGTGAAAATATACATAGCCAAAGATACACCATTTCAAAAATTTCTACATGCACAGTTCAGTGACATTGACTACGCTCTTCCAATTGTGCTGCTATTC